TTTCACATGATTGCTTATTCATTTCAACTCGATGTTTTTTTTTATTCATTTTTTTTTTGGGGGGGGGGCTGAGTTCCTTTACCAAATATCATCGAAACAAATGACACATTGCAAAATTAGTTAGTTTATTTAAGCGCAAAGCTGCGTAATGGAATATCTGTATTGTGTCCATCTCGGAGATCGAACCTGAATCCTAGCATTGCTTGCCGTTGAGCATCAGGGACAGTAGAATTAGTATCCTCGTTATCTTTACTGTGAAATTTGTCGTGGAATTAAATAATTTTTTGTATAATTAATTTAAAGCTGTATAATGTTTTCTATGCTGTTTTCAGTAAAATGTGTAGAGAACTTTGTGTATTTGTTTTCAGTTATTCGCGCAAAGGTACTACAGGTCTATCTATCTACGCTAGCTGTCCCTAATTTTGAACTATTAGACTAGAGGGAATGCCAACTCTTGGACTGCTCTTGTCTGACCGAATGGTTAAAGTGTAACCGTTAACCTGATAACACATTTACGGCCCCAAAGTGTAGACCCCCCTTTTTTTCGATTTTGGGATGCATATGAAGGAACCTCAGATCCATTGTCTAGCGTGTTAAATAAGGCTATTGTTCGGCACGTGTACATAACAGATGAATTTCTTGAAAAGAAAACAAACATACTAGAAGCACTATATTTATAAACCAATGCCAAGTGAAAAGCAGCAGTAAAAGCTTAACAGTATTTAAGGAGTCCAAACTCATTGACATGAATTATTACTTTTCTTCATGTAAAAGCCAATTAACCTGTTCCTGAATTAGAACCCTTATGATGCCAGATCTTTCATGACAGTATCACGTGATGCAACATTTTCGTTTAATATATTGCTAGTTATTGAAATTAAATACTCAGTTTAAAAAATAAAAAGAAAAAAAACGTCCATTCGTTTGGTTCAATCGTACATAAGAGATAAAAATGTTGCTTGAAAACTGGATAGGTTGATCACTTCTTGTTCTAAAGAAGAAAATTATCTGGGGACTTTTTTTTGTATTTAAGCACAAAGCTACACAATGGGCTATCTGTGCTGTGTCTACCACGGGTATTGAAACCCGGGTTTTAGCGTTCTAAGCCTTCAGACGTATCGCTGTGCAACTGGGGGGGGGACTATCTGGTGAGTTTCGCACACATTTAATGAAGATAAGTGTAGACAAACGGAGAGCGTGTCGAAATTCAAAATATGTTTCTTTTCACAGCTGGGTGTGTAATTGATGGTCACCACTTTGCCGATGGAGAGGCTGTTGAATCAGATGACCCTTGCCAACATTGTTATTGCATGAAAAATAAGCTGATGTGTAATGTACAGGACTGTAAGTCACCAGGGGAAGACTGTCAGCCCTTGACACCAGAGAAAGGACAGTGCTGTCCGGAAAAATACAATTGTTGTAAGTTGTAAACTAAACTGGATTTTTTTCTCTTTGCTTTATTATATTCAGTACTCAGAATAGCAATACGGTAATATTACGTGTATAGATACCTACTACCGTAAATCTAAATGTGTCTTTTTCCCATACTGAATAGAACTTGGATGAAATGATACATTTATATGAGTAAACGTCAATGTGTGTGTGTGTATCTGTTACTTAAACGTTTCCACATTTCTTGATCAATCAACACCAAACTTGACACAGTGATACAAAATGACATGAGGGAGGTCACGAGAGTGGGGTGTGGGGGTGGGGGTGGACCACCTTCTAATTTTATATTTAATTTCGAAAAAACTACCAATGTTGCATATCCCTCAGCATTAGAATGACCTAAGTAACCACTATTGTTAGAATTCTTGAAAACAGTATGTTTTTCTTTTCAGTATTGGTACCTTTATGTTTATCACGTTAAGAAAAAAAAATAGAAGCACGATTTTTTTATCATTTGTTAGATACGAGAGTTAATCACACACGTCCAACGGATGGGTACTCAGATAGTTGTCTATAAAAACATACGAAAATTAATAAATTTAAAATACAGCTTATTGATCTTTAGATCTGTATATTAGAGTCTATACATTTTATATTGAAATATTTCACTAAATGTTTTCAATCTTATTATTATTATTTGTTTTCTGCTATAGCTACGACTCAAAGGCCATTTACAGAACCTGGTGAACTTGTTAGGCAAGAAGTCACAAATGGTCCTTCTGTCACTATACAAGACACAGCTGGGGAACCTATTAGAAAAGAAGCCACAGATGGTCCCACTGTCACTACAACCGCTAAGCAACAGCCTACAGATGAACCTACTGTAATTACACAAGACACAACTGACGAACCTGTTAGACAAGAAGCCACAGATGGTCCTACTGTCACTTCGGCTGCAAAACAACAAACCACAGATGAACCCACTGTAATTACACAGGATACAACTGGGGAACCTGTTAGAAAAGAAGCCACAGATAGTCAGACTGTCACTACAACCGCTAAGCAACAACCCACAGATGAACCTATTGTAATTACACAGGACACAACTGGGGAACCTATTAGAAAAGAAACCACAGATAGTCCTATTGTCACTTCTACTGCAAAACAGCAGACCACAGATGAACCTACTGTAATTACACAAGCCACAACTGACGAACTTGTTAGAAAAGAAGACACAGATCGTCCTACTATCACTACAGTTGCTAAACAACAGACCACAGATGAACCAACTGTAGTTACACAAGACACCACAGGAGTGCCAGAGTTTACAACATCTGACAAGATTGTAGAATCGATCGTTGTTCAAAGTCCTTTAACCAAAGACACTGTAGTGATCTCTAGAGGAATACCAGGTGAAGGTAAGTAATGACGTATTTTTTTTTTAGTTTGCAGTTGTTTAACGATATTATATATATTTCTTTTTAAACAAAACAAAATTATAAGAGTGTACCCCATTTTTAATTCCTAGATAACAATATTTTTGAACAGTAATCTTGTATTTATTCAGGAATTTGCCGATTGAACAACACTATCTACCAGGACAACGAAAGAGTTTCCAATATCGATGCTTGCACTGTTAACTGTGTTTGTATGAACAGCGTAATTCAGTGTGAAAAAATAACGTGTGAAGTGCCCAACAAGGATATTCTGAAGCATTGTACTTTTACTCACGATGCGGGTCGTTGTTGTCCCGAATACGAATGTTGTAAGTACATTAAAGTTCACAAAAACATCAGAGAAAATACAGGGTGGACCAGAAGTAGGTTTACACAACTTATTCAAAAAAAGGTGTCGAATACAAAATGTATTCTTATTACAACCACACAAGCCTTCTTGATTATCACGTCATAGCATTTTTGTCTGTTCCACACCGCATATTTAGCGAAAACATCTCTTGCTCTTTTGTTAAGACGGCAAATATGATCATCAACAGGTTCACACAATATTAAAAAATCAAATTGATAAATTATAACAGGAAATAACTGAGCTGAAAAATTATTCAGTAAACGTACTTATGACTCACCCTGCATATTAAACCAGAAAATCAAAAATTAAATTAATTATGCTATCAATCATAACATGACTAAAAATTGAGAATCCTAATGTCAAGGAAGTAATATAAGATATACATTATTGTAACAACAAATTTTACTGTTATTTTAATAACTTTTTATTGGGATTGCTACAGTTCTTCAACGTTGTTTTTTAATTAGTGGATTCAATGGTTATCTCTATAGCATTAGATGTGACAGAAGTGGAAAACGCCGTACCCAGCGTAACTGTTACTGAAAACATATTTGATGAAGACTTGATTACAACAACAGCAACAAAAACTACACCAGAAGCGATTGTAACAGAGAAAAAGGACACAGAGGTTGATGTCAAAACAGATGCTTTACTCACTACAACAGAAGTGGTCGTAACTGATAAAGAAACAAGTGATGATGGAGTAACAACAAAGGTTCCAGACACAACACAGGAAGAGACTGCAACAGAGAAAAAGGACACAGAGGTTGATGTTAAAACAGATGCTTTACTCACTACAACAGAAGTGGTCGTAACTGATAAAGAAATAAGTGATGATGAAGCGACAACAAAGGCTCCGAGTGTTGCACCAGAAGAGACTGTAACAGAGAAAGAGGACACAGAAGTTGATGTCAGAACAGATGCTTTACTCACTACAACAGAAGTGGTCGTAACTGATAAAGAAACAAGTGATGATGGAGTAACAACAAAAGCTCCTGGTGTTGCACCAGGAGAGACTGTAACAGAGAAAGAGGACACAGAAGTTGATGTTAAAACAGATGCTTTACTCACTACAACAGAAGTGGTCGTAACTGATAAAGAAACAAGTGATGATGGAATAACAACAAAGGTTCCAGACACTACACATGAAGAGACTGTAACAGAGAAAAATGAGACAGAAGTCGATGTTAAAACAGATGCTTTACTCACTACAACAGAAGTGGTCGTAACTGATAAAGAAAAAGTGATGATGGAGTAACAACAAAAGCTCCTGGTGTTGCACCAGAAGAGACTGTAACAGAAAAAGAGGGCACAGAGGTTGAAGCCAAAACAGATGATTTACTCACTACAATAGAAGTGGTCGTAACTGATAAAGAAACAAGTGATGATGGAATAACAACAAAAGTTCCAGACGCTGCACAGGAAGAGACTGTAACAGAGAAAAGGGACACAGAAGTCGATGTTAAAACAGATGCTTTACTCACTACAACAGAAGTGGTTGTAACTGATAAAAAAACGAGTGATGATGGAGTAACAACAAAGGTTCCAGACGCTGCACAGGAAGAGACTGTAACAGAGAAAAAAGACACAGAGGTTGATGTTAAAACAGATGCTTTAATCACCACAACAGAATTGTTCGTAACGGATAAAGAAACAAGTGATGATGGAGTGACAACAAAGGCTCCAGGTGTTACATCAGAAGCGATTGTAACAGAGAAAAAGGACACACAGGTTGATGTCAAAACAGATGCTTTACTCACTACAACAGAAGTGGTCGTAACTGATAAAGAAACAAGTGATGATGGAGTAACAACCAAGATTCGAGACGCTGCACAGGAAGAGACTGTAACAGAGAAAAAGGAGACAGAGGTTGATGTCAAAACAGTTGCTTTACTCACTACAACAGAATTGGTCGTAACTGATAAAGAAACAAGTGATGATGGAGTGACAACAAGGGCTCCGGGTGTTACATCAGAAGCGATTGTAACAGAGAAAAAGGAGACAGAGGTTGATGTCAAAACAGATGCTTTACTCACTACAACAGAATTGGTCGTAACTGATAAAGAAACGAGTGATGATGGAGTGACAACAAGGGCTCCGGGTGTTACATCAGAAGCGATTGTAACAGAGAAAACGGAGACAGAGGTTGATGTCAAAACAGATGATTT